AACATATGTCAATATATCAAAATCAGATGTCAAGACATCAGAGTGAATCCTCTTAGGCTAAAAGTTGTGGTGTGTGCAATGTAATCATCCCGAGCTCTTCCCCAAACTAGCAGAAGTACCTAAAATCAAAACTGAAAAATGTAAGCACGAAGCTTAGTAAGTCTCACCAAACTACCACATACCATACACATAATCACATAATAACATACATTGGGCCTTGCCCACTATATCGGGCCCCGCCCGACATTGGACGAATCCGGCATCGGGCCCCACCCGACATCGGATCGAAGTCCGGTATACATATAACATATCAACAAAGCATGTAACATAAACACATAACATAAACACATAACATAAACATATAAACATTCCTCAGGCTTGACCCGACATCGGATCGAAGCCCAGAACATATAACACATAACATGTAAGCTAAAGATTCCTTGGGCTTGCCCCGACATCGGACCGAAGCCCGGAACATAAAAACATACACATGTAAGAATCACAAAGACATCAAGCATACAAACATTCCTCGGGCTCTCCCCGACATCAGACCGAAATCCAAAAACATATAAACTACATCGGCTAACCCCGACATCGGACCTAAGTCCGACATACACTATCATACATAAACGGGCGGACATTGGTGCCTTCGACTCGTTCCTACTGGAGGAAAACTCACCTTGTAAGCAAATTGTGAAATCTCGCGTAAGGAATCTCTAACGACTGCTCCAACGACTCCCCGCCTATCATTATCACAATAACAATAAGTCAAAATCTGATAATTCTTCTTAAGGTAAAATGACCATTTTACCCCTAGTCAAAGTCAACATTCTGGTCAAAGTCAACACACTGGGTTGACTCAAATCGCCGAGGTATATACATCAAAAATCCTGAAATCACGATCCAAATTGTCGAGTCATCCCTTTGACTCTCCAAGTTCCTTGGTTACTCATAGTCAAGATTTGGTGAGTCAACTCGTCGAGTCCCTTCGAAGACTTGTCGAGTTCTTCGTTGTACAAAATCGGGACAAAACGACACTACTCATTGAGTCCTTCTCTGGACAAGCCGAGTTCATCAGTCTGTTTAGGCCATCTTAAAGGATTAAGTCCCTACTCTTCAGATTTAAGTTCCATACTTCATCTACATACTGGAAATGCCCTTTTAAGGGTAAAGTTTCCAACTTTACCCATTCATAGTCCTTCTTAATGGGTTTACCTCAAACCCTAGTTCTTTAAGACTTAGATCTTGGTCCATAAGACATAATACTCTAAACCAAAGCATGAAAACTGAGATCTAGGTCCTAGACACTAAATGAACACGTAAAGTCTCAGACTTTCCTTTCATGCATGGCCTTTTGGGGCGTAAAAGGCCAAAATAACCCCTTAAAGTTTGCTTGGGGCTTCCATGGTCTTAAATTTTGAACCTTTATGCCATGAAACCCCTTTTAGATACCATATATGAAAGGTAAATCACTAGGGCCGTCCATTCCCCAAGGATTAAGCTACTTGGACAAAAGACTCAACAAACGTGGAGATGAAGAGATCTAAGCACACAATGGACAAGTTAGGAGCTATTTACCTTTATTGAACCAAAAATGGAGCTCAACTTCTGGATCTACTGTCCTCCTTCAGGTCCTTGCTCTTTCTTCAAGGATCCACTTCTTCAACTTCACAAAGAACACCTAAATTGGTACAAGAACACTCAAAAGTGGATTAGGGTTTCGTGGCTAGGGTTTGGGATGATGGAGGCTGCAAATGAGAACAACCTTTGGAGGTTAAGGTGTTTAAATAGGGTGCAAAACTCTAAAAATTAGGGTTTCACTCTGGCATCCCTACTCATCGAGTTGAGGCTCTCAACTCGTCGAGTAGACTTCAAGTCCCGCATCCAAATTCCATGCCTACTCGACGAGTTTGGGCCTCCAACTCGTCGAGTCGCCTTGCAAAAATAAATAATTTGATTTAAAATAGATACCAGGATCTAGGCGTTACACAGTCAAAGTTAAAACTCCAAAAATCATCAGTGGGTCGCCACGCCGTGACCACCCATTGGTCACGTCGTGACGACCAAAGTGTCACGTCGTGACGAATGCTCTGGATAGACTAGAGTCTTAAGCTCTTAATCATTTAAGACATGCAACCAAACCTTCCAGAATGCATCCTTATCCAGAATACCATAAAAATCATAGATTTTTAGACATGCATGTCCCAAAGACAAGCTAGGTCAAAATGAAGGAAAAATGAGCTCTAATCTCATGCATGAAACCCAAAATTCATTAATATTCCATATCTGGGACAAATGGTAGCAAAGGAGTCTTAGGAACTCATAAAGTTGCCAACTTTATGAGATCCCATCACTCAACTTACATAAATCATGAGAAAATTGAGCCAAATACTAGATCTAAAAGCTTGAGCTAAAAGGCATGAACTTAAGGAGTTACAAGAGTCCTAAAGCAGCCCAAAATGATGATGAAGTGGCTTGCAAGATGAAATGATACACCAAATATCTTATCTTCTTCTTCAAGGATTCAAACCACCCAAAAATGGAACTCAAATATCAAAAATGGAATATTAGGGTTTTTGAAGAGTGAAGGGGGGTGATGGAGGCTGGAAACGAAACCCTAATTCCAAGTTTAAAGGCTTAAATATAGAGGACACCCTAAAAGATCATGGACTTGGGTTGCAGTCATCCTCACAACGTGACCATAATCATGTAGTGACCTCCTTATGGTCACATCGTGACACCGGGTTTTCCCTAAAAACCAAGCTTTTGAATCCTTAATTCCCTAAACCAACCCATTCTGAAAAACGGGTGTTATATAAAATAATGATGAGAGGCCAGGATTTTTTTAGTACTACTACACTAGAAATGTAGTCACGTAGTAGGGCATTGATGATGACCACAAACTATTCTAGACAAGTAGGGTCAAACATGGTAGGCTTGCAACATGTAGATGTTTATAAGCCATACACCGGCAGGTATACAACCTGTAGGTGTAAATTGACCAGACATGGGCATGATTACCACTTGTAGATGTTACTAATTTGTTTTGTGGGTAGGTCTACGACCTGTTGGCATTGATGAGTCGTACGCGGATAGGTCTACGACCTGTAGGTGTTATAGAACTACAAAGGGGCATATCTCCGATTTGTAGATGTTAAGGAACCACATACAAATGAATGATCTATTCATGAGGGTACTATGTTCACCCCATGGTTGTCTTATTTGTACATATTGCTAAGGAATCCCCGATGCAATATTATTTACTTAGAGAGCCTTTAGGATAGATCCCTTACGATCATTGGTTTAGGACCAGGGAGTGAGAATACCCGGTACGGGTAATCGGGTTATTTGTTCGATGTGAAAGACATAATTATAAAAAATTAATTATATTATTGTTGGCTAAAAACCTTATGTGCTTATCAGACTCCCAAGCCTGACCCGTTCAATTTCTTTGTATAACAGGTAGGAATACAAAAAGTATATGGATAAGTGATGTTTGGATCTGATGAAAGATTTGAGGAGATGTTGGCCATTGTATAATATGATGTAAGGCCTGTCATGACTATGTTTATGGTTATGTTTCTTGTATCAGTTATGACATGCCAAGTTTTTTTTATAATCAATGAAAAACATTTCTTCGAAAATACTTTTTGTGGGACAAATTCTGCAACATAAAGAATACTCTGCTTAAAATAAGTACCAAGAAAAGGTTTTTTTAGGCCGTGAAAAAGAGGATGTCACATATACAATTGTCAATTGGGGGAAGAGGAATGAGTGGTGTTCCTAAACTTTCAAACTCACTAGTAGGTGACGAGGGTATTCAAAAAAATGGTTGATTTTTCTTACATGAATTTAGATTGGGCTTATTCTTCTTCCCTCATCTTCTTATCTATCTTAGCTAAATGTTAAGCTCAATAATCAACAGATTTGGTTAAGTGTAGCCTATGTTACATAGACATTAAACATAAGTATTTGAAACACTCTCATATCAACTCGTATTAGGCTAGTTCTTTTTATTGAATATTCTTATAACCACTCGTATTGGGCTGATTCTTTTTTATGTATATTCTTGTTTGTCCTGATTTGGGTAAGTATAACCTAAGCTACAAAGCCCTAAATATGAGTACTTAGAAAATATGCGAAGTTGACCCGATAACGGAGGCAAAATATATTGCATCAAATAAAGCTATAAAAGAGGCTATTTTGATGAATAAGTTCATCATATATCCTGATGTGGTTCCCAACATTTATAATCACATTTAGATCTTTTGTGTCACCCATGGTGCAATCATATTGGCTAAAAAGTCGGCCACACAAACACAACTTAGGAAATATCATTATATTCACAAGGTTGTTGGGAACAAATATATTAGCGCTTGTAGAGTTGTAATGTTGGGAACTTGGTCGATCCGTTCACTAAGGCCATGTCACATCATCACCACTAACTATCACTAAACTTATGGAATACCCACCACTACCACTCTACTTCACATCATTTTTTTATTTTTTTAAGACTAAACTGCACAAATGGTCCCTGTGGTTAGCCGAAAATTGCTACTTTGGTCCAAAAAGTTTCGGACTAACACCAGAGGTCCAAAGTTTTCATTTTGTTGCGGGTTTGGTCCAATTTCCTTTAAACTTTTTCATAATGACAATTTTGCCCTTACTTTTATATTTTTTAGTTTTTAATTTATTTAAATATTAGTTTTTTATTTTTTATTTTTTATTTTTTTCTCTTTCAAAAAAATTTTATCTAAATATTTTTCTGAAAATAAAATTTGTCTTTTCTACTTGATTTTTATAATTTTTATAAAGAAATAAAAATAAATAAATAAAATATGCAATCTCTCTCTCTCTCTCTCTCTCTCTCTCTCTCTCTCTCTCTCTTCAGCTAACAAGAACACCGGAAAGTTTGAACACTACCTTGGGAAAAGATAAATGCCACCACCGAAAATGATGAACGTCACCACCACCACGACAGGACAAAACATCTAGCCAATATGACCACTGTAAGTCAACATCACCACCATCTCCTTGAAAACCTCATATCTGAAAAGTATAATCGGAAACCACCGCCACTGCTACCATTTCTGTGGCGACTCCGACAAAAGGGTTCTAACCCATTTTCCCACCACCCATTTAGCCGGACCACCACCATCGATGGCACCCATTTTTCCACCACCTGGTAACTTAAAACCATGAAAAATCTTATCTGCAACTTGAAGAAGGGAGGCCCAACGCCATCTTCCTCATCAAATATTAAGTCTCCGCCGCCTTCGTTTCTCTACATCTTCGGCGCTTCGTCGTTCCTCAAATCTGAAAGCCTCCACCATCGTCGTTCCTCAAATCTGAAAGCCTCCACCAACCTTCAACAGGAAAACCCTCATATTTGATAGCTTCCACCGCTGTTTGGGAACCCTAACCCTAGCGCCATCAAATCTGAACCGAGACGAACGATATAGTGAAGTAGAGACCCTAAACGGACGATTGGAGTAGTGTCGCTAGCGTTTATCAATCTTATAGCTTGAATCGTCGTCGAAGAAGGATAGAGATGAAGAGAAAAGAAGGCAGAGAAATGGGTGACATCGGTATGTGCTCAATGGGGGTGAGTTTGAATAGGCCTCCATCGTCTTTCCAGATTCAATGAGAATGTGTTCCACCAGACGATAATGACAATAGAATGGTGGTGCTCCGCCGAAATCAAAGTCGATGGTGTCGTCGGAGTCGGAATCGTTGGCGGTGCCGAAGAGATGTCGCAGGTCTGAAGCTTCAGAGTGGGTTGAGGTGAAAGAAGAGATGGTGGTGCTCCAGACGGTAGGTAATACACGGTGGTGGCCTCCGAAACCCTCAGTCACCGGAACACTCAATCACCGGAAGCCTAAGTCACCGGTGATTGTATTTTCATTTTCAGAAAGTTTGAATGAGGAAGATGGATTTGTGGAGAGAGGGGGAGAGAGAGAGAGAGAGAGAGAGAGAGAGAGAGAGAGAGAGAAAGAAGAGAGAGAGAGAGAGAGAGAGAGAGATAGAATTTTGTATTTATTTTTTATTTTTATTTTATTCAGAAAACATTAAAATAATTAGAAAAAAATGAAAAAATAGAATATCAAGGGCAAAATCATCAATATAAAAAAGTTCAAAACAAATTGGACCAAATTCGCAACAAAATGAAAATTTTGGACTTCTGGTGCTAGTCCAAAACTTTTTGGACCAAAGTGGCAATTTTCGGCTAACCACAGGGACCATTTGTGCAGTTTTGTCTTTTTTTAATTCAAAAATACAATAAAAATACATCTTTAAAATTTAAAGATAAAATATAGATTTTTTTAACTAGTTTTCATTCAATAATAAAGAAACATTACATTAATATTAAAACTACATTACTTAAATAACCTACAATTAAAAATAAACAAACATAAAATAAAACTAATTTTCGTTCATGTTAAATTGGTACAAATATTCCGCGACATCTTCTCGAAAATTGAATTTTCTTTATCAACCGAATCAAAAAATTTTAAAAAAGTCCATGTTTTTTTTTTGTTTTAAAGAATGACAGTGTAAAATTTGATGAAAGGTGAGTGTAAATTTTGATGTATTATGTTTATATAGGTGTTGAGTTTGTAAAAATAAATAAATAAATTAAAAATTGGACCGTGGTTGAATTGGCAACATCTTCCGATTGATCCTCCTAACTCGTCGTAGCCATCACGAAACGCAACGACCACGACACACAAGGACGGTGTGCGCGATCGTGGTTCATGGCCTTGTATACCAGGGAAGGTCTAGTGCTTAGTATCCAGTATGGTCTAAGCAATTGTCGTAGACCAAGCTTGATTCTTACGATTAAAATAAATTGAGATTTTTATTTTTAACAAATAGTAGGAATACGTATCGAAATAACTATGAAGCGATGAAAATCCTATCTAATTGGTCACCTGAATTTATCGACACAAGAAAGAGTAGTTCTCATTTCCTGAAAAGATAGGTTGTTATTTGAACTCAATTCTATAATTCTTTTCTGATAGAAGAATCTAATAATATATCATTATACGTGTTATATTTTGTCAAATTTATAATGTTTTTTTAACATTTTTTGTATATATTTGTAAAATAAAGTTTTTGATATATGATTACGTACCAAATAGTGCAAGTCTACTTATAAGTTATACTTGTTCTTGATGCTATAATCTATTTAACTTCATCACCTTCGTACTACTCTCTCTCTCTCTCTCTCTCTCTCTCTCTCTCTCTCTGTGTTGTGCTTTCCTTCCTGTTGCTTTTCTTTGCATCAAACCACCACTAATCTCTCTCACTCCACCCCTAAGTCTAATCATCTCCCATCTTCTACACTTGAAGCATCCATCCATCATCTTCGAGATTCATTCCAATCCAACTATATTACGAATTCCACTGCATATTTTTCATAATTCAATACAGTTTTAATCCATTTTCTCATCTGGTTATACATTCAATTTTACTGCAAAAAGATTCAAAAAGCATCGATTTAAAGTTGTTTTTTTACCGTTATGGATAGAGATTTCTTTCTCAACGCTGGACTCCACTTCGAACCGCAGACTCAAATGCCGTCATGGAAGTTGATGGCATCGGCGCCGGAGATGAATTGCCCGCCGCCGCAATCGTCACTTGGTAGATTCAACAATTTTGAGTCTGCTTTTAGCTCAATGGTCTCCTCGCCTGTTTCCAATTCAGTGGCTCCAAACGATACTTTCGCCGTTCGTGAACTTATCGGGAAATTGGGTAGCATTTGCAATGGTGATGGTGAGGTTTCTCCGGCCGCCATGGCTCCGGCAGCAGCAGTGCCATTGAATTCACCACCACGCAAGTTTGATTGGCCACCCGTTGACCATTTTGGGAAAGAAAACCAACTCAATTTGCGAGATTCAAGTCCTCTCGGTTCTGGATTTCCATCACTAACAGCGGATCCAGGTTTCGCGGAGAGGGCGGCGAAGTTTTCTTCTTTTGGTAGTCGTAGTTTCAATGGCAGAACTTCTCAGTCAGGGTTAAATTCAAGCAACCCGGATTTGCAATTTAGATCTAGCGTTTCACCATTAATGAGAAATGCCAGAATGCCTCGTGTTTACAGTAGCCCTTCCCTGAAAGTGGATGGATCTGCCATGGCGATTCGAGAAAACAAGAATTTGGCTGAAACCCACATGGCAAACGGGCTGGGTTGTGAATATAAATCCAATTCAAATGAAGAGTCCTCTGTTTCCGAACAAATGCAAATTGGATTGAGAAATCCGGACGATTCAAACTCAAGAAAGAGAAAAGCTGCATCTTCAAAAGGCAAAGCAAAAGAAATTGCATCACCCGTTGTAAAGGTAACAAGAATCAAACAAAATTCAGCTATAATCAACAACTTATGTTCCAAATTCACCAATGTTTCGAAACTTCTGTGTTTTAGGAAGAAGGAAGCGATGATTCGAATTTGAAGAGACAGAAGAAAACAGAGGAGAATACAAATGGTGAAACAGAGAAGAATCCAAAGCTTCCCGAGCCACCAAAAGATTATAAAGATTATATTCATGTTAGAGCAAGAAGAGGTCAAGCTACAGATAGCCATAGCCTTGCAGAAAGAGTAAGCCTCTATCTGAATCAACAATAATTACAGCTTTCAAGATCTTGAATTCCACCATGATCATGTTTTTTACAGGTCAGGAGAGAGAAGATAAGTGAAAGAATGAAGCTTCTTCAAGATCTTGTTCCAGGTTGCAATAAGGTATCAAATTTGTAAGCTTCCAACTCGAAATTGATGGCATTATGATCAAGGTGCTGATCGAAATGCGAAATCGTGTTCTTAGGTCACTGGAAAAGCACTCATGCTCGATGAAATCATCAATTACGTTCAATCACTACAAGGTCAAGTTGAGGTAAGTCGATAATTTCAAATTCTTGTAAATAAATCCACCGATTACAATCAAAATGATTGTGGTTCTTCAGTTTCTGTCCATGAAACTAGCAACAGTGAATCCAAGGCAAGATTTTGACATGAATAGTCAACTTTGCAAAGATGTTCATGTTAGTCAACTTTCTCTCTCTAAAACTCAACGCTTCTCTCTCTCTCCTCTTAAACTCTACGAAATTTGATTTCCTTTTGTGGGTATGTTCTCAAATTTGCAGATGAATCAATCACATAGGAATTTATCTCAACAATTATACCCAATGGAAACATCCACGTCAGAGTTCTATCAACAAAACCCACAACAAGTACTTTTTGTTGGGTCTACTGCTATCACTCAATCTTCAGTGGACCCATTGTCCACCTCCATTGTTCATGGATTCACCCAAACTTTCTCACAAGTAAGTAATTTACGAAAAGAAAAAATCATAACTTTACGTTAACATCACTCTTAAAATAACAATCCACAATCCAACCTTTTTGATTCAGTTCGTTGAATTTGAAGGAGATGATCTAAATAATATTGTCAAGATGGGTTACAGAGAGAATCATGATCATGATCAGACATCGGAAATGAAAATTGAACTCTGACCATGATCCAAACGCGTTTGCAGCCATTGGTCGATTGATGGCATGATGAGGCTGTGTAAATACAAAAGAGACTACTTTTAGTTCGGATTAAAATAATTAAACCTGTATTTTGCTAATTGATCTACTTTTAAGTATAATAATTTTCTAGCATTTCATTTCATTTATTTTTTGTAATATGCATTGTATTATAGAGATTATGTGGAGTTGAAGGTTCAAAAGTTCGACATGTAATATATAGATGGAAATTAAAAGTAAAAAACTTCAAGCAACTTTTAAGTTTTAACCAAAGTTTATACTTCTAGCTTCATATATGTATATACATATAGTCATGCAATATTACAAAGCTTCATAAATGATACCAAGTATAATAATTGGTTAAATATCTTATATGTCTTGACGAAAGAATATTTGATTTGCCATATAGTCGCATAACATTTGGGACCTCTTTTGTCCAATGAAAATGCAACATCATCGTTACATACAAGATATATGTAATAATTCTACGCAAAAAAATGTTTTTCTAATTTGTCTTTGTTGAATTACGTTAAAAGGATAAATGGGTTTTCCATTAAATGAAGTAGCATGGTTCTTAGTAGTAGGTCATACCAAAATGTAATCATGGGAAGACCCCAAATTACACCTGACCTAGTGTTTTTCTTGTGATTAACTGAAACATCCATATCAACCAAGAAGACATGTTTTTGTCCATCCCGTTTAAACCCTTATTTTAGGACTTTGTTGCATTAGCCTTTTTAACGATAGTATATATAACAGAAAATGAACTATCTTAGTCGGTTCGCATCATATGTCAGCTTAATTTCAAAATATATCATGTTAATTATTATGTATATTTATTACCTACTAATCTACTATTGAATATAAACTAGATATTTATCTTTTTTTTTTTTTTTTTTTTTTTTTTTGGAACGGCTAACACATACCATCCACTAAACCTAGTCCTAAAGTCTTTTTTTTTTTGTTCATAGTGATATTTGAACCCTCGTTATACTATAATAATGACTAAATAGCAACTATTTATGAGGTTGGCTAAAAAGATTTAATTACGTACATAAAGGTTATCAATCACGAAATTTATAGGTCAACCAAAGATATATAAGGTACTTAGATCTGTTTTTGATATATTAATAATATTTGTCTTGTTCAAATATAGAAATGAAATACAATGATTAATTTGCTTGAAAGTAGTTAATTAAGTAAGAATAATTAATACAAGTCGGAATTAATATTTAATTAAAAAATTTAAGAATCCCAGGTTGGCATTGGTGAATTATGACTCAACCCACCCCATGCAAGAAGACTTTTTTTTTATCTAATTTGAAAAGACGACTCAGATGTAGTGGAGTTACAGGTAGAGAAGATACCCCTTCATATGTAATTATTTATTAATATATTTACTTTTTAAATTTAAATGAATTATTCACAAAAATATCATATATTTTATGAGTGATCACCGCTAACAAAATGAGAAAAGTAAAATTATTTCTAGTTGCGATGGAAATAAAAACATCAAATTACTTTCTACCGTGATCACTTCAGGTTCCAATCAAAATGAACCTAGTAAAATGATAAAAATCCGATAGATACACCGTTATAGGTTCTATTTATATATGTTATGACCAACAACTCATATTTGATCATATTTGATAAGGTTGATTTTTATTTATTTATTTATTTATTTTTTGAATCGAAAGAATACTCCAAAATTTGGAATTTGAATTTAGTAATTTTTTTTCTTCTGAATTAACTCATCAATGAGGACCATGAAAAAAAAAACTTGCTAACCGCAAAGATAAAACAAAATACATAAAATGTTCTTTTTATCTGCCGTCATTTTCATTGAAAAAGAGCGAAAATCATCTTTTTTATTTGCCACTACAGATAAGCAGTTATAAACATAAACATTATGCACGTAAGTAATAAATAATCTTGCCACTTCGATTATTTTAGTTCAAAGAGGTATCAACATTCCTTCCACTATTTGTTCCATATGTTGGGGTGTGAAGACTTGATTAAACACAAGTGAGCATCATAATCACAAGCGAGCATCAGGAATCACGAGTAAGCATCAGGATTACAAGCGAGCATCAGGAATCATGAGTGACAATCAGGATCATAAGCGAGCATCAGGAAATAATCATGAGTGACAATCAGCATCACAAGTGAGCATCATAAATCACGAGTGAGCATCACGGATCACAAGTGAGCATCATGGATCTTCATGTTGAAGATGCTAAAGGAGAATGCTTATCAGTTGCTGCTCATCAGTTGAAGATTCTTAAGGAGGATGCTCATCAATTGAAGATACTCAATAAGGATGCTCATCAGTTGTCAATGATCATGGATGATGCTCATAAGGTTAAAAGTTCTAGAAGCACATGCATGGCATTCTATGATTGATTGGAAATTAGGGCATCCCCTTTATGAGCTAATTATGGATGTGACTAACCCATCATAATTAGAGTTTCCTATGGTTACCTATAAATAGTTCGTGAAAGATAATAAAATCATCTCTATCTCGTTTGTCCATAGAAGTAGGTCACCTTAACTAAATTGCATTAAATATTGTGTTCAGTTTTGATTTAATTAAGTTTTTCAAAAGTTTTATTTCGTAAGTTTCATCGAAGTTTGTTGATATTTGTCTGAAGTGCTTAACTTGTTTTCTTTTTATCCCAAAAAAAAACTTATTTTGTGGAATGCTTGAAAAAGATTCGGCCCACTTGTTTATTTCATGTGAGGTAATTGCGACTCTATAGGGTTTCTTAAAAAATGGTTTGATCTTGATACTCCTACTTTATAGAGGTGGAAGAAGTGGCGAATTGGATTGATGTGAGTCAATTATCTTAAAACAAGCATATTTTTTTTTGGATTCGATCATTATGTCTATGTGATGGATGATAAGGAATTTCAAAAACGATAGTCTTTAGTCATTATGTAGTTAGAGGGGATTCTTTATAGATATGATGGTTGATTTTTTCTTATTTATAATTTATCAATAGAAATAGGAAAACAACCATTAGTTGCGTTGAGCAGTTGAAAATCCGATTTTATCCATTACTTTGTAATCTCTTTTTGTTAGCAATTTTCTAACATGTTAGCATTAAATCATTCAGATGTTCAAAAACAGTTTTAAATAAAAAAAAATTTTACATCGACACTCCAAAAAACATGCTATGGTGTTTTAGGTTATTCTGTTTAGTTACTTGGATTTGATAAGCATAAAATGCCATTTTATTGAACGAAATTGAAGTAGTTTAAAGAGAATCAACACCAAAACAAATGATGAAACTCTCGCGAATGGTTAATACAATTATGTTAGACCCTCGGAACCAGCCGCTAACCATGCACGAAAGGTTTGAATTATTCACACTAGCTTTGTACTAACTGTGTGTGAAAGAATGTGTAACATTATTTTCACATGTGGCCATCATGTCAAAGATGTACTTTATAATTGACATAGGGAATATATTTTCTCCTAAGGGTGAACTCGGTACCAGAACCAAACCGAACGTGTACCAAAATTGTTTTTGGCCAAAAATAAGAACTAAAAGCCTCATCGATTAAGGGTATACGATATCATTTTAGTTTTGATTCTAGGTTTGGGTTTTTGTACCAAACCCATGTTAGTACAAATTTTACGTTGTACAAATTTCAAAGTAACATTTACAAGAACACTTAAATTTTCACAAATTAACACCTGTTTAATATGTGTGAGAACATTTACAGAACCGTCACAAACACTACAAAAGCTAAAAACAAAAATACGAAGAAATAACAATAGTTTAATTGGCAGGAGACCGGTAGCAACAGTTTCAAAGAACTACAAAAGGTAAATGAAATTACTAATAAAAGAACAAGAAAAAGCATTGGTAAATATAAAATACTTTTGTTATTTGTTGATTTTTTTGTTGTATGTTTATAAGGGAAGAATATGTTAGGGTTGTTTGACTTCGAGTCACCATTGATTTCGAAGAACAAGGCCATTTTTTTTTTATTTCCAAGTAATTAGAAAATGGATTAGACTATGAGATTTGTATGAATCTTCATTGCATGGTTTGTTTTAATAGTTACATAAAAATCAGTAGTATTGGTACAATTAGTATCGAAAACCGAAAGCTAAAATCCACTCATTGATGGAATCGAGACCTGAACCCTAAGGAAAAATCGATTATGGTCTGTTTTTGGAAATCCAATCCGGCTGCCCACCCTATTGTCTCATACTATATGTCGAATTATGTTATTTAGAAATTCACGTTTTAGGTCATACTTAAGACTATGTAATATCAATGAGGATCCTCCACTCATCTTTACAATGTTGATTTCAATTATCAATCATTAAAATGATGATGGTGTGTTGTGTTTTCTAGTTGGAGGATATAAGCTACATTTTGGACATGAAGAGTTTAGTATTATATTTGGCATACATCTTGGTAGTTTTACATGAGTGGATGGGAATGATATTTTCGGGTTTAAAATGTGTTGCTTCCTTGACAAAAATTATTCTAATCTCTTATGTATTGAAGATTTACTTGACGTGTTTAAGCTCAAGGTTTACAACATTTCTAATGAGGATGTTATCTGTATACTTCTTATTTGCATGTTGGAGCATGGTTCTATGTCGGCATAAAGGCAAATTTCTTGTCAAGCCATGGGAACTTTTGGTTGGAGATGATTTAGAATTTTAGATGCATGAAACACATATTATTTTCATAAAACATTTTTTGTTGTACAATTTTTTTTTCCAGTTGTAATGAATTCTTTGTTGTGTAGGTATCCGTGGGATCATATTTATAGATATATACATACAATCATATGTGTAGGTATCCTTGGGATCATATTATAATGAAATAATTTAATTTGCTAATAATTTTTATTATTTTTTTATTCTTAAAAATATGTTTAAACAAATTTTATTTGGAAAATAAGAAAACAAAGAACAAAAAAATCTAAGAAAAACATCAAAAAAAAAATGTTAGTAGCATAATTTTAAATGCATGTGTATAACATAAATATAGATATACTGGAAAGTTTTTGAAAATATGAAATATATGTAAATTTGAATGTTAAATGGTAGCGTAATTTTAGGCTAATAATATCGAATGAGAGAAATAAACTGAAAATTGATTTAAATGGTCTTAAATGTAGTAATTGAAATTTGGAAGAAACGTGTATTCTTAAATCCTGGTAAATACATAATTAGGTAGCATCCTTCCTAATAACTAAAGAACTTTTTAACACATGACATG